AATTGAGGTGAAAACTCTCCACCTCATGCACAAAAATTTTTTTTACCTTATGAAATAAACACCACAAAGTCATATAACGACCTCTGTGTAGACCTGGTGGTGTGTCAAGTGAGGAGAGAGCGGAAGGTCAGTTGGGTTTGGGGCGACCCTCACTGACCGTGAGATAAGATGGGTAGGTGAATAGGACTTTTTTCCAGATGTGGTATGACACTCCTCTCTTAACTCACACACTGACACAGCATTGGTTGTAAATAACATTACTATACTGTACAAATATTACACTTAACACAATAATATAAATCATTTAAACTATTGTATAAATTTCTGATATTTACACTATATACATCCCCTCCCCTTGCATACGAGCATCAGGAATGAAATCTATGTAAAACAACACTGTGTAAAATAATTCAGCTGTTTTTTAAAGCTATATCACCAACAGATGAACATTTTCATTTTTGCTAATATGCTGTAACAAAATCATTCGTGAAAATTTTACAGGCATACACATTCCTATAGTTTTTTACTCATCTTGTAACCATCAAATATATTTCTGTCCACTAACTTTGATTAGAGTAATATTCATAATTTTATGATGCACTTTTATCAAAAATATCTACTCCTTTAAAAAAAAAAAGATTATTAAACACTGGTCCGTAACAAGTAAATCTAACTTTTAAAAATTGCTACTAGTATAAAAATAACCTTCTTCAATACGTACATCAACAGGCTCTGAATCAGACTCACTGCTACTAGAAGCTGCAGCTCTAGCTCGACTTTTCTTACTTGACATGATCTTTGTTCAATCAGAAAAAACTAATCACCTGCATATGAAGGACAAATGTAGGACTATATTTAAAACACAAAATAAATTGTTATATATTACGTACAAACAAATTTCATTTAGGCTGCTGAATTTACACACACAAAAAATATATATGTAGGTAATAATGAATAATAAAAATGATGCCTGTAATAATGCCAATTAAAAAAAATATTTGCTTCAAAAACTATAAACATTTTTTGCACATTCTTCCTTTTGAAAGCAAACAGTGCCATTTTTAGTGTTCACTATTTTTTAACAAACACTTTCCATTATCACTAATGTCATTACTGTCAGATCACTTATTACTGTTGTTGTTTTTCTCTGCAATCATTAAAACTATCCTAGTAAGTGGACTTCTCATTGTTTACATAGCTTAACATTGAATATAAAAGCACTGTCCATGGGTGTTAGTGAGTGAAGACAAGGGAAAGCTAAGCGAGTTCTTAGAAGTTTGCTATTCTATTACAATTAATTTCAAGTTATATACAATACATAACTTGGGGCAAATTTTATTAAACAACTATTAATACTTAAGACTTATGTTTGTTTGCCCTATTGGTATATGTACTAGCCCTTATATTAGACAGTTAATGAACAGGCTTATTTGTTAACTGTAAAGACATTAATGTATGAATAGAAAGTTGAAAAATGGAACAACACTAACTATTACTAAATTTTCACAGCAGTATTAGGCCCAATACCATTTTCAACATCCCAAAACACAACTTATTGAAGAAACATGTTCTATTATTTTGCAAGTTTTTTTTTGGATTATTTAGTAAAAATATTTCCAAGTCCAGTCCATGTAACAATAATGAACTTATTTCACCAACAAATGTTTGTTAAAACCACATTGCATATTTCAACATAAATTCTGAAATTAAAGTAGGCCTGACTTCAAATACAATATTTCAACAAAAATTCACAGACTAATGGTACACATACCCAACTTACTTATCTTACATTGATAAACACCCTAACTCACTTAGTAACTAAATAGCAAGAGCTGTGATAAGTCACTCTTCTAGCACTTACTAACTTTTCTGTCACTTACCTGACATTAAGCAACACTGATTACCAAATTCAAATCACACCCTTGTTTCTACATAGTACACAAAGCTTCAGAATTATCAACTTTCAATAACGTTCTAGATCTTTAGGGCATGCACCCTCCAGCAAAAATCTACATTAAAAGATTAAAATTACAGCTTACAGTGATACATATAATTAAATCAGACTGCCCTATGGCTGTAGTTATTTTTGTATTCAAGGTGTTATCCCCTCCAACTTGCATGGTAAAAAAAAAGTGGAGAACATCCCCCTAGTGGCTTTCTCAACTATTTTAAATTCTTTCTTTAAAACCAAGATTTTAAGGAGGTAGGGTGTGTCTTTAGTTTGCTCGAAATTTCATATTTTTTTAGACTAAAATACATAGCAGTTACTAAGATAAATTATAGTTGAATTCTATGGTACTGATGTAGTAATTTATGATTTTTTAGTAATTGAAATGTATATATATAGAACCTAAAAAAATTATTTTGTTTCATATCCTCCACATGCAAAATTTTTTATGGCTTAACAACCTATGTCAAGCAGCAACTGAGTACAAAGGTTGTATCTAGAAGAGACAATTGGTTGGTTTGCTTCTTTATTTACTGTTCTTTGTTTTAAGAAAAATAAGTTGAAGAAATTATTTCAAAATAGCA